AGGTAGCACTTAGCCTAAAAAGCTTTCACTCCCCCTGGGCTTTTCTCCCTGCTTGTCCGGGCTGAGCCCCTGGCTTTCTGATCCTTCTTGGCTTCTCTTTCTCATGCATACCTCGGCTAAAATGATACCCATCAAACACCTCTGCCCACCACATGCACCTTGTTTTGGGCAATGTGACATATGCCTGTGGTTGGGGTGGAGGCCCCTATTGTTTCATAGAGTTTTCAGGACAGAAGAGACCACCAGTCCTCCTGTACAGCACAGTCCACTTAGTTTTGCTCACTTACCCCATATTGAGCCCAATGACTTTAGTTTGACCAAAGCATTTCAGTCCTCCTCAGGAAACTAAACTGTTGTGTACTGCAGGCAAAGAACAGGAGAAACCAGGCGGCCACCCATGCGCGAGGCCCTGTGATGGCAGGGAATTGATGAGGTCGGACAGATGACCCCCGCTGGTGACCCATGCTGCAGAGGAAGGTGAAAAAACACAAAGGTCCCTGCCAATCTGACTTGAGGGAAATTTCTCCCTGACCCTAAATCTGATGATCAGCTGGATCCCGAGCAAGCAGCCAGGCAGCTAGACAGGATTAATTGGATTCTGAACCACCTCAGAGCCTGGCCTACTCTCTCTGGTGTCCAGTCTCCAATCCCTGATGCTTCAGAGGAACGCAAAAAAAGCCAAACAAACCTAGAACAAACCAGGCCAATTGTGCGTTGGTGGTAAAAGTCCTTCCTCACTCATTTCAGCCACCTGAAAAGGAGTGTAATTGTTTTTACATGTGTCCCAAATGAAGGGCAGTGTTTACACCCACTGGTTTGAACAATCTTTCACCTCACCCATAACAGTCGGAAACATGGGAATTGCCAGACTGGATCAGAGTCATGGCCCATTTAAGTCCAATGTCCTGTCTCTGACAGAGACCAGAACCCGATGATTCAGAGGAAGGTGTGAGAATCCCACAGTGGACAGATATGGAGTAATCTGCCCTCATGAAGGTTTGATCCAACCTCTAATAGAGACTGGCTTAAACCTTGACACACGAGTGTTTATGTCCCTTCCAATCCTCTTGTAAAACTGTTCACTATGAGAACTCTGGAGGTTGTGGTGCAAATGTCCCATTGCTCTTTAAAGTTCCTGGCTTCAATTTAAAACTAAACATCTTTGTTACTGCTTGAGTGATTATAGCAGCTAGAGGCCTCAGCTGAGACCATGGTCTTGTGGGTGCTGCACAGATCCTGACCGAGATCAAGCCCTTGTTGTGGTGGATGTGGCTCAAAACCTGACTAAGATCAGGGCCCTCATTGTGCCAGATGCTTCATAGACCCAGGCCAACATTAGTGCCTTATTCTGCTGGGCACTGCACAGTGAGAATCTGTTCATGCCCCAAAGAGTTTACAATCTATATAGCCCAAAGGATGGATTTTTATCCCATTTTACAGATGGGGAAATGGAGGCACAGAGAGACTGAAGGGACATATGCATTGCTATGCTGAGTGTTGCAATGCCTAACTCTTAAGTGCCCTGCTGCCTAGTGGCATCCTGAGCCTTGAGTTGGGTATCCATGCACTATATGAGGAGAGTTAAGCGCTGAGGACAGGAATTCTCAGAAGCCAGCAAGATGAGCAGGGACCCACTTAAGTTAGCCGGGAGTGAAGTGCACAGGAAAGTGTGGGGGAGCTTAGGGACCAGATTCACAAAGATGCTTAGGCACCTAACTCCCATTGAGCTGGGCCTCCACACACCTCCCTCTGCTTGGGATTCTCAGCCATGAATCCTCTTCTGGAGCCAGGCGCCTAAGCCAGGATATTCCTTTCTTGTATAAAAGCACAGAAACTCCATCATACCTAATAGCCCAGCCTCTCCCCTGGGATGAGGCAGGTTTGGGTTCCTGCTTCAAGAAATATGTAATTATTTATTCAAAGTGAAACAGCTTTAACAGAAGAGAATGGTGGAGAGGGACCCATCTGAGAGGACCCTAGAGCTAGGCTTGGCAAAGTGTATATATACATCTTCTGCTGCCTAATTCCTATATAAGTTTGACAGATAATATCCATGTTTATTTGTAAGCTTTTTTTAAATCAATGTAAGTGTTCACAGTTGCAGGAAATTATGGGTGGAGATCAGACAATGGGGGGGGTAGACAATAATTATGTAATGGCAATAGATGTTGGGTTTCAAAAAGTTAAAGCTTTATAACGGTTAAAACACCAATTGTCAACATCACATGTCCAAATATGCCAAGTAAATATACTTAAATCAAACTCTGCTAAGTTCTCAAGCCGCATTTCTCTTACTTTGCCTGTCTGTACATTGCAGTTATCAATATAAATATGTTTGTCAGTTTGTGTGTGTTGGTGAAATTGATGTCTGGCCATATTTGCTGATCAAAATCTTGCCCTTCCAAGCCCACCTGTTGCCCAGTGGTCAGGGCGATCTGCTGGGTTGTGGGAGACCGAGCTGAAGCTGAGTATCGCACATCCCAGGCGTGTGCACTGACCACGGAGCTACTGGCTATTTTACACACACACTGCCTGATAGGTGTGCTCTGAGCATGCCTGCTGGATGGGACTCTGCTCAGGGGAATGTCTAGTAAAGTTTGACAATCCCACTGCAGTTGAAGAATGGACAAGGGCTCTGAGCAGCTCAGTAGCTGTGGGGTGACATAAGGACTTAGTGGCTGTCTATGGAGTTAGGAGGCAGCTGAGTGGGGGTTTTGGGAAAGTTAGTGGCTCTTAATTGTTGAACTTAGGCACCTACAGAGACAGACACCTGAGTCCCTTTGTGGATCTTGACCAAAATGATTTCTCCAGGGTCACATAGGTAGTTTGTGGCAGAGATGGCTATTGAGCCCAAATGTCCTGTACCCCAATGCAGCACCTTAACCACACCACAGTCATTCCTCTCCTTTGCATTTGAAGTGGCCACATAGATAACTGATTTAATGGATGTGAAGGGCCTGCTCTGAGTTCCCAAGGGACCTGCCATGCCCAGCGTGTGCCCATTCAATGGCTGACATGAGGCAAAATGCCCAGGCAAAGCAGCTCAAAGCCAGCACAGGGACTCTAAGGGGGGAGGCAGTAGCTAAGCAGATCTGGGGCTCTGTGTCAGCTTCAATGGTGTTGTGGGAATGAGACCAGGAGGGGGGGCACAAGACCGTTGGCAACAATCCCCCTTTTGTCAGCACGGCTGCGATGACCTCATCCTGTTCCGGGGGACAATGCCCCCCGTGTTCCCTGGCCGGGGGCTCCCCAACAATGAGCCCAGTCAGGGCTGGCAAGCGGAAGTGACGCTGTGGGAGCCCCGTTGCCAGGGAAGCAGGGCAGCTATGCCCCACGGAGTGGGGGCGACAGGGAGAGCTGGCCCCCCACAATGTGACAGGGAGGTTAATAAATGCAGGGGGGAGAGGGCTGAGGTTTTTTGCCATTTGGGAGCTTTGAAGCTCTCATGGTCCATCCCCCCAGCCATGAACACACACCTGCAGGGAGAGTTAGCCCTGGAGGGGAACCACTTGCCCAGAGTTGCTGGCAATGCCAGGATTAGAACCTAGGAGTCCAGGGGTGTGTGTGTGTGGGGGGGAGGGTAGGTCTCATGGTTGTGTGGCCCCGCCACCAAAGGAGGTGGAGGGAGTAGGGAGAATAGACGATGGACTCAGATGGGGCAGAGCTCCCACTTCCTCACCCCACCCACCCCAGGATGGACATTTGGGGCAGGGTTTCACAGCCCTTGTCACTGTGCCCCCATGGCAAGGATGTGGCAGAAATATGCCCAGAATGCAGGATGACTCAAAGGGCCCCTTCAACCACAAACCCCACTCCTCTCTCAGAGTGGGGATAAAATCCAGTGGTCCTCACTCCCATCCCCCCTGCTCTAGCCCACTGGACCACAGTCCAGGATACAACCTATGATTCCTGGCTCCCACTATCCCACCTCTGACCATAAGATACTTTTCTCTCCTAGGAGCTGGGTAGTCAAGACTCCTGGGTTCTCTCACCAGCACTGGGAGGGGAGTGGGGTCTAGTGGTTAAAGCAGGAGGGCTGGGAGACAGAACTCCTGGGTTCTCTCACCAGCTGTGGGAGAAGAGGTGTGCGTGTGCGCATGCGTGTGCACATGCAGGTCCCCTCCTCAGGTTTGCAATGGCTCCATTCATTACAGATCTGCCCCAGAAAAGCCGTGTCTAATCTGATTTGTAATTGGTACTAATTAGCGTTAATCACAGTGGGAAACACAGACCGGGGACCTTGGCTGGGGATAGGGGATAGAATGGAGCTGCTAATGAGTGGAATAGAGTTGGAGAAGTTTGGCAAGTCCTGACTTCCCCCACCTCCTCTCCCAGACCTGGGGATAGAATCCAGGCACCCTGACTCTCAACTCCCCTGTTCTAACCCACTAGACCCCACCCCCTTCCCACAGTTCATTCACATCAGCGGTGCTCCATTGGCATGACAAGCATTGCCAAACATGTACGATAAACTCAGATGCCTCTGATTTCTGCCAGGGGGTGGGTACAACCCTGCCCGCAAGGGAGAGGGTCACACACTGCGTATTTTGGCTCCATGCCCATGTCACTCCTGCCCATTGGAATCCCCTGGTGACTGAAATGCTTCTCAAAAAGTGGTGTGGGAGGAGCTGTCGGGGAGCTCAAGCCATCTAGCCAGATGCTGGAGACATAGGGTGGAATGGGCAGGGAGCTTGAACCACCCAGCTGGGCACCAGAGCCATCAGGCAACACAGCTGGCAGGGGGCTAGAGCCACCCAGCTTGATACCGGAGCCAGGGGGCAACACAGCTGGCAGGGGGCTAGAGCCACCCAGCTGGATACTAGAGCCAGGGTGCAGGACAGCTGGCAGGGGACTAGAGTCACCCAGCTTGATACCGGAGCCAGGGGGCGGCACAGCCGGCAGGGGGCTAGAGCCA